GATAATGAGCACGCGGAGGAAGAGGAGGAGGAGGAGGAGGGAGAGGAAAAGGGGGAAGAGGCGCTGCATGCGGAGCCGTTGGGGATTCGAGCGCTGAATGCTGAGGCGTCACAAAGACCTGGTCAAGACGCCCCAAGTCGCCCCCAAGATGACCCCGAAACAGCCGAGCAAAGCGCCAAGGCGGCCCAAGAGGCGGCACAGACGGCCCAAGAAGCCCCCAGACGGCCCGAAGAACGGCTCCCGAAAGGGAGCGCGGACCGAAACACCGAGACTTCCACCCCGAAAAGGCCCCAGTATACCCCACGAATTACATTAAAGGGCTCCAAGAGACTTCACTCAGCCCTCCCGTTTCCTGCGGTCTGACTATGTCACCTGTTTAGCCAGCGCGTTCCAGACGAGTCATCCCGGAACGCGTTATTTGCGGAATGGTCTTGGAGCCCGCGCCGAGGATCTGGAAAATGTCTGGGACCATCGCGGCGGCCTCCGAGGCCCGGGACGCCGAAACCATGTAAAAGCACAGGGAAAATGAGCCCTGGTACTCCCATGGAGGGTCGGTCGAGGGAGCTGTTTTCGGGCCCCGGGCCTGCCCCCCCATGATATATATATATATATATATATATATAAAAACATGTGTGTGTATATATATATATATATATATATATATATATATCTCACAGGGGGTCTGATTCGGTCTGCCACTCCGCGTCATCCTCCCTGTTGCCTCTTCCCTCCACCTTCCTCGTTCCCTCTGTTCCGTCACGCCACGACCCAATGATTGGCCCACCGTCCTTCTTCCATCAGCATCCTGCTCCTCCATATCCTACCTGATCTTTGCGTCTTCATCCCGCATGCTGATAACAAACTCCCTTAAGTCGCAATACTAGACGTGCAGGTAGGCAGTCTGGGCGTTTGGGCGATCACTTTAAACCAACGCGTGGCCCTGAAGCTTAAAAGTTGTATCCGCAAGTGGGTGAGTCTCAACGGACGGCATGTGGGTGAATCCGCCGATCCGGTGTGTGAGTTTCTGAGAGCATGGACTTGAACTCGCTCAAGTTTCGCTCTGCAGGGGGGGGGGACGCCATTCTCGACGCATTTAGTGCTCGGGGGGGGGGGCCCGCAGGCCGCCAAGAAGCCCCCAGGAGGCTCTGGAGGGGGGTGGGGGGACGCCATTCCCGACGCATTTAGTGCTCGGGGGCGAGGGGGCCCACAAGCCCCCCAAAGCCCCGAGGAGGCCCCAGAAGGCCCCCAAGAGGCCCGAAAGAGGCCCCAAAACGACCCCCAAAAAGCATCCCCAGGTCCCTTGCTCAATCCCGTGAGCCTCAGTCCTCAAGCCTGAGGATTGTTAATGAACCCGGACCCAACCTCTCAAATCTCTTGAGGCTCCCCGCGCGCCCTCTGAGGCCCACAGAACATTCCCGCATGACTTCTTCGAGCCCAAGAGAGGCCCAAGACCGGCCGACAGGGCCCCAAGAGGCCCTCAAGACGGCCCAAGAAAGCCCCGAATCACCGAACGATCGGTCCAACTTGGACGCCCAAGATGGCCCCATGACGCCCAAGACGCCCAAGATGGCCCTATGAGCACTACCATGATAAACAGCTTCAGAACCGTCATCAACATCATCATCAACAAGAAAATCATCATCACCACAATCATCATCATCATCATCATCATCATCATCATCATCCTCATCATCATCATCATCATCGTCATCACCATGATCAGCATCATCATCATCATCATCATCATCAACATCATCATCATCATCATCATCATCATCATCATCATCATCATCATCATTGTCATTATCCGGAGGGGCCGAATCGGCGGCACTGGCAGGAGGCCAAAACAATATCAAAACATGGTTGCTGACGTCTGGCCTCTCAAATTGCATGATCACACCTAAACCTCACAGGTCAAACATCTAGTTTGATTAGTAAACAACGATTCGCCTTCAAATGTGAACTCTCGCGTGCGACCTTCTCACATCATGATTGTCAACTGCGAAAGTTGAACTAGCACATGGAACATGTCAGCAAAACAATGATATGGTCTGCGCCCTCCTCAGGTATCATGCGCACAAAACGTCAAGCTTCCAGCACCTACGCAAATTGATGTTGGCTCTGTGTCAAACAAACTCGGGCCCCCTCTTCGAACATGCTCCTAAAGTCTGCCCTGCCTAGATGAGTGGTAGGGCATTCAATCCGACGACCCCAGAGGCGTGTGAGGAGCAGCCAGGATTCTTCAACACTGGGGCCCACTCACTCTGCACCCGACTATTTCTCGCCCGGACCCGACCCCGGCCCCCACCCCGCCCCCCACCACGCCCCAGCATCCTCACGGCATCGTCACCCTCTGGGCCTACTGCTCTTGGGACCCCGCACCCGAAAGTTCTCACCCGGACCCGAAGCTGACCCCCCCACACCGCTCCCCACCACGCCCCGGCATCCTCACCCTCTGGGCCTACTGCTCTTTTGGACCCCGCACCCTACAAGTTCTCGCCCGGACCCGAAGCTGACCCCCACACCGCTCCCCACCACGCCCCTGCATCCTCACCCTCTGGGCCTAGTGCTCTTTTGGACCCCGCACCCGACAAGTTCTCGCCCGGACCCGAAGCTGACCCCCACCCCGCCCCCCACCACGCCCCGGCATCCTCACCCTCTGGGCCTAGTGCTCTTGGGACCCCGCACCCGACAAGTTCTCGCCCGGACCCGACCCTGACCCCCACCCCGCTCCCCACCACGCCCCTGCATCCTCACCCTCTGGGACTACTGCTCTTTTGGACCCCGCACTTGACAAGTTCTCGCACGGACCCGACCCTGACCCCCACCCCGCTCCCCACCACGCCCCTGCATCCTCACCATCTGGGACTACTGCTCTTTTGGACCCCGCACCCGACAAGTTCTCGCCCGGACCCGAAGCTGACCCCCACACCGCTCCCCCCACGCCCCTGCATCCTCACCCTCTGGGCCTAGTGCTCTTGGGACCCCGCACCCGACAAGTTCTCGCCCAGACCCGACCCTGACCCCCACCCCGCTCCCCACCACGCCCTGGCATCCTCACCCTCTGGGCCTACTGCTCTTTTGGACCCCGCACCCTACAAGTTCTCGCCCGGACCCGAAGCTGACCCCCACACCGCTCCCCACCACGCCCCTGCATCCTCACCCTCTGGGCCTAGTGCTCTTTTGGACCCCGCACCCGACAAGTTCTCGCCCGGACCCGACCCTGACCCCCACACCGCTCCCCACCACGCCCTGGCATCCTCACCCTCTGGGCCTACTGCTCTTTTGGACCCCGCACCCTACAAGTTCTCGCCCGGACCCGACCCTGACCCCCACCCCGCTCCCCACCACGCCCCTGCATCCTCACCCTCTGGCCGGCCTGCGCGGGAGAGCCGCGTACTTTTCAAGCATATCTAAACATTCGGGACCGTATCTACCTTCTCAAGAAAACCTCTCTCTATATATATATATACATATATATATATATATATATAGATTCGTATCTAATTTCGAAGAATGGCAGTGCCGCGCCGTATCTATTCGCCGTATCTATTCGTATCAAATTCTGTCAGAACGAATGCTGATGGCTGTGCTCTCGGCGCGAACAAGATCCATGATATTTGTCGATGCAATGAACAACGGGATTGGGATAGCGGGAAGCCATAAAGATGAGGAGTGAGGAGACGGGCGACGACGATAAAAACGACGAGGACTAGGATGGATAACAGCGACGAAACGAAAATTAGGAGAGAACTGGATCGGAACAGGGAACCGTAGGATGGGGAGAGCAACGAGGAGGAGGAGGAGGAGGAGGAGGAGGAGGAGGAGGAGGAGGAGTGATTCGAACGATGAGCGCGGACGAGGAGGAGGATGAGGACGCGCGGCGAAGATTCACGAGGAGCGAGGTGGAGTTGGAGGGAGCGTCAGAAGGAGAACGTGGAGGAGGGGGAGTCAGGACGGGAATGAAGTCGATCAGCGATTGAAGAAAATGGCTCTTCTGCTTCGTCCTCCTCGTCCTCGTGATCGTTCGGCTCGCCCGCCGTCCATGATTTCCCACTTCACTTTCTCCTCCTCCTCCTCCTCCACCACCTTCTCCTCCTCTTCCTCCTCATCATCGTCGCCGTCCTGACTGGCGTGTGGATTGTCTTCCCTGTTCGTGGTCACTGAGCGGCCTAAGCCTGGTAGTGGAGACATGGCACTGCATCGATTCGCATATATGTGTTGTTTTCCAGCCGATGGGCGCCATGTTGAACCGTATCTGAACATATCTAAACATATCTATTCGTATCTGACAATGGCACCGCGTCTAAACATTTGAAGAAAGTATACCTCACGTATACAAAAAGTAAGGAATCGTATCTAAACGAACATTTTCGAAACATATCCATTCGTATCTAATTTCTTCATGAAAACGCTGTCAAACACATACCAGGCCAGCTCGCCGGCGAGTTGGTCCAGAACCGCTGGCCGAGATTTTCGGGAGGCTTCCGAATCAGATGATCGACTGTGATCATGGGAAGGAAGCATGGCATAAACTTAAAAATTCGGAGGTCCGCGCGGCTTTCTCTGATCGGCGCCGGGGCCCCCGCCAGGGAGGGGGGCCCAGCGCGGGTCCAAGACATCCGCGCGGACCTCCGAGGTTTCATGTTTATGTCCTTTCTCGTTCCCCTAGCGATGGGCGCCCAAGAAGGACCGAAGGGGCTTCTCTGGCCACGGCGAGCCTCGGCCACCAACAGGTTCCCTGACCTGGGTCCAATCGACCACTCGCAAGAGTGACCCTGGGTAAGAGTGACCTTTGGTGCGCGGCTTTTGGGGGGCCGCGGGGGGGCCAAACACGAGCGCGCAAGACGCTACTACCGCATCGCGTTCGGCTATCGCGGGACCCCATTGGGCCCGCACCAAAGGTCACTCCGGCGAAAGGTCACTCCTACGCCTAGTCGATCTAAGGAGCGGCCCGAAAACCGGCGCCCCTCCTGAGGCCCAAAAATGGTCCCTGTTTCAGCGTCTTGGCTGCAGCTCTGGAATCGCACAGGGCTCAGGACTGCACCTCGGGATCGGTTGGCTCGGTGCCTCTGGAGGGAGAGAGTCGCGGGGACACGTCGCTGCTCGAAGCCAGGACCAGGTAGCAGTATGCGGCAGAGAAGGCAGCGGCATGCATCGGCACGCTAGACACGAAGCTGAGCGGAGGAAGATGGCGATGCACAAAGCGGCAGGAATAGCCAGAGGATGATTCGTGCTACCTTGACGCATGCGCGAATATCGAGAGTTCAATTGATCATCCAAGCAACCAAAAACACAAGACGCGTGGTGAATGCCGGCCGCAATCGTATGAAGCGCCTTCACCCTGTCATGCGTTCTTCTCTTGTTCGTTACTCGGGAGCGCGCGTCTCTGGCAGAGACTCTCTGCAGCCTCTGGTGCGCCCGCGGCACAACAACCGCAGGGCAGCGGGTATCTCAATCCACAACGAGCGGCAGCGAAGAAAACCGTGTAATCGAGTGTACCCCCGCAGGCGTCATCGCGTGAAACCGGTTTTCCTGTGTGGAAGATGTCCCCCCGCCGCCCAACGCGGTGGCATGGGAGACCGCTCGCTTGACGAAGCGGCGCTTGACAAAGTGGCGCTCGCTCAGGCCTAGCGTCAGCTAGCCCTCGTATGCACGGATTTGAATTTATTCGTCTGCACAGGTTTTCGGCCTAGGTTGATCATACATATATACAACGAGCGCGTGCAGACAGTGGGCGCGTAACCGCTGCTCGACCTCGCGGCGCGGGACGGCACCCACGGCGACCCACGGCACTCCTCCTCCAGCCCCTCGGGGGCGTCCAGGACGGAGACCGCAAAGGCGCAGAGAGGGGCGGGGACACGATGGAGGCAGCGCAGCATGGGAGCCAGCGCGGGCCCCCCACTCTGGTGCAGAGCTGTGCTTAGGCAGGAGACACAAGGCAGGCACGATGCTCACGCTGCAGTTGTACAGGCGTGGTCGGATGCCCGAAACGAAAAACAACACAAGCGTCAGGGAACGACCGCGACGAGGGGGCGGCAATGAGGGCGAACTCCAGGCGAAAGCCCCAGGGACGAGCAAGGGGGAGAGCAGGCAGAGGAGCGACGCAACACGGCGGGACGGCGACACCACTCAGGAGCCGGGCGAGCGGACGAGCAGCGCCCGCACTCAGAGGCTTCTCGGACTGATCCCCTAACGCACGGGACAAACATCGTACATCAAGACACCTCTGCCGGGAAAGTTGCCAGCAACGAGGGGAGGAGGGGAAGAGAGGAGAGGAATGAACTGGGGAGGGCTCCTCGTGGTCCGCGTCCCACCAGGCACCAGCACCGCTCACGAGGCACGAGCCCCGCTCACCGTCGCCCTCCGGCGCGCAATGCGCGCGGCGCTTCCTCCCGCCACGATGACGGCGATGCGATGAAGCATCTCCCGCCGCACCGTGCCCGGCTCCCGGCCCTCTCTGCTCGCCACCGCGGCTACAGCACGGACCGCGGCGTCCGCGCCCGTCGACATGCCGCCCTGGGCCTCGAGCACGGCCAGCAAAAAGGGATATTTCGAAATCCAGACATCCTCATGTAAACGATTCGGATGTCCGAGCAGCGCGACCCCTGATCCTCCTCCTCCCCTCGTCCTGTCCTCGAGGGAGGGAGCGGCTGGCAATCCCTCCTCACTCTGTTGAGTCACAACAACATGTCACAGCGTCAAGGCCGCTGGCTTCTCCCGACTCTCCTGGCGGCGCCTCGAGGAGGATCCCCTGCGGACGCAGACAACGTCCTCTAGCACCAGCAGGACTCGTGTAGAAGGGGCCACGTCGTTGCCCCCATCCTCTGCGACATCCAATCTCAAGAATGCGTTCGCAGATATTTCGCGGACTGCTAAGCCCATGTGAGGCAGGTTGAGACGGATATTGAATGTCTCCATACTGGGCACGTTATGCTGCGCAGCGTCGCCAAGCTCAAAATCATCCATAATATTGTTGTATGCCACCATTGCCCATTTCATAAACGACCTCTTATTAACGACCCACTGCAACAGCCCTGCGCCTTCGCATATAGGCCCACTCAGGTTCAAGAACTCGGCGGAGCAATGCAAAATAGGCAAACCGTCGACGTCTGGGTTGATGTGGACAGTCATTCCCGCACTGTGGGTACCGATCAGTACACCAGAAGAGAAAGTCCCTGATAAACTGATCGAATCTTCCGAGATTCCTGCGAAAGCGTCGGAACGCGAGACCACTGGCCTATCGCGAAGCTCGCTCTCAGGCGGCGCCCGAAGAAAATCGGAATCTTCCTTCACACCCACTATGTGGATCGGCTCGTCGTCTATGTCAATGCCCTGGGCATGGAATAGCTGAAATTTTACCGGCATGCCCCATGAATCCTTTAAAGAAGCGTGAACGGTGCTAGCATCAGACATTGGCCGCTTCAAGAATGTAATCAGACGGTCCTTCTCGGAAGCGTCGAAGGCTAGATCAATAAATGAGACACCGACACCCATAGTTGTGGGGGATCTGAGAAGCAGTGTGGCAAGGTGTGCGGCTGGCTTTGAGAACAGAAGATCTTGCGACATATGCACCACCGCGTCGCACACACTTGACAAGAGCCCGCCCGCTATTGACTCAACATTTCGCGACGTCTTCGCCTCCAACATTGCCAAAAACTCAGCGTCGCGGGACTTTCTGACGGATGCTGTTACGGCGAACATGAGGAGCGAAACAATCAACTCCTGACGCGTGTCGGCGGGCTCGTACACTGGCGAAACAGCTGCGACGTACACAAGACCCAAACCAAGAGTCAGCCTAGGTTTGCAATGAACAACGCTCACTGCGATGCGTTCGCAGATTCTCACTGGGCTGGCTTTCAAGAAAGCGATATTGTCTTCGGCAGTGACCGCAAGGTACCAGACGACAGTATACAGGAGCACGTGGAACAAGAACACGACAGTAGGGGTGAGCAAACAGGGCTTGAGAGTACCTGCCATAAGGAATGTAGTCAGAGCTATGTTGCCGAGGCGCGCCGCTGAGGACATATCATTCTGGACCAGCTGAACCATGTTATAGCAGAAGGCAAAACAGAGTATCCTAGGGCACCCCCAGACCACTTGCTCAGAGAGTCGTTTGTCCGCCATATCCTTCAACTGACGATGCAACGGATGCGGTGGTGACATGAAGAGCAGCCACTTCGCCGTGGCATTGAAATGAGCATAAACTGAGCTCCATCGCGGGAAGACGCCACACAGCCCAGAGCCGCGAAACCGCCAGATTATGATCGCGAGTGTCAGGCAATTGACGGAGATAAGTACGATAAGCCAGGCGCGATCGTCCAACATGATCGGGCCCAGGTGGTCACTGCCCTGGGCTAAAAGCTAAGTCCGTTCCGCTGGAGTGCGCCTGGACTTTGGCCTTTCGCTTGAGCCAACCAAGATGGCTATGTACCTGTCATGCGTCCTTCTTGTTCCACGCTAGGCCGTCGAGCTATCAAGCACGGGCTGCCCGTGCAGGCAAACGATCTGTGCTATGCCCTCTGCTGAAAGAGAACCTTATCGCACTAAAACAATATGATCCCCGTCCGTGTAATTGCTGGGAGTCCTACCAGCACTCGGGGGGTAACAGAGGGCTACTCTTCTGATCCACCCTGCCCAAGAGATCTGGATCGAGTCGTTCGCCGGGAGCTGGACACAACAAAGACTTCAACGTGTCTGTGAGGTGGCACCCAAACCTCCCGATGATGTTCCCGATCGAACGAAATCACAGCGCAGCACGGTTTCAATGAGTTTGGCCGTCTCAACTTTCGGGTTCCGATGGGCCTCTGATATCCCATATGGCCCCGAGGTGTCAATGAGGCTCTGAGATTAGGTCGGGCGTGTCCTCCGACAGGCGGATTCTGGACGAAAAACTAAACATAGTCAAAGGATCAACACATACCCCAAAATACTTACAACAAATCGTCCCAAAACTATGTTTTACTCTTTTGGGATATTCCTCCTGTAGAGGAACACACCCGACTTAAGTCTAATGATAGCCCATGCGTGTCCAAAGAGGAGCCGGAGGCCCCCACAGAGACTACCAAGTCCTCCCATGCGTTGGCTGATCGCTTCCAGCATGGCCCAGGACGGCCCGACAGGCTCCCACACTTGCTTGCCCCACGAGAACCACGAGAGCACCCCGAAAGGGCCCCTAAAGAGATTCAGCATGGCTCCACAAGTCCTCTTCGCAGCCCCCACAGAAGGCATCATGTTGTATTCTACGGGGCGTTCCGGGGCTGATCACGGTTGAGGCTTTCGCTTGCTCCTCACATCTCTTCTTAAAGCAAGCCTTTCATGATATGTTATGTCTGTGCTGTCGGGGACACGTTGTTGCGTCGGCGGCTAGGCAGAGGGTGACTGCGCTAGCGATGGGGGCCTAAACAGGGATGCTTTTAGAGCAAAACTGTTGCCGGGGATACACGGAGCTCGAAGATGTGTCGGCCATGTGATCGTACATCGGGAGGGGATACCACGCGAAAGCGATATCTTGGAATCCAACCGGTATCCATCCAGAAAGTGGCTTCATATTTCACGCTCTCAGGTCGCACGCACGTGCCACGGGCGTGGTCTGGAAGTGCTTTTCCCTGCTGTCTTGGCAAACGAAAGACGGGATGTCACAAACTTCTCCGCCGTGTGGAACGCCTGTCGCAGGGGGATCGGCAACAGGCTGTGTCACTACGTGCCCCCTCGGTGGTGTAAACTTTCCAGCCGCCCTGGGACAGTCGCCCCCTGGCGGAGAGGCTTCTGGTACACCGTCTTTCGTGCGCTGACTCCTCGTGGCCGCCTCGGGTGGGCCCCCCTTTGCAAGCACGCCAGCCCAAGCCCAACCAGGCCATGGCGTGATCGAGTCAAACAAAGATCATCCATTTGATCCCTTCCCGCCAGGAGGCTCCGAGGGGCCACCTGTCCCAATACGGGCGCAGAAGGCCGCCAGGATGGCCCAAAAGGCCCACCAAGACGGCGTACGAGAGAAACCCCAAGGGATGCCGCAAGAGGACTCCAGACAGGCTCGAGAGTGCACCCATTGACCAGCTTTCGCCGTTCAATGTATGCTGTCCGCCAACCCTAAGATTGCTTCATGATGGTATCAGATGACCCAGAGACGGCCAGACAGAGCCACATGAAGCCCTCGAGATGGCCCAACTCGTCCCCCAGACGGTCAAAGAGACGGTGGAAGGGGGTGGCCCTGGAGGTTCATTCCGTCGCCGTAATCACCGCGCACATGGCTCAACAGCACAAGCCTCAAGACCGCCAGGCAGGCCGGGAGCAGGCAGGCTGAGCCGAGCATCCGGAAGGACGCGTGGGCAGAAGAGTGCACGATTGGCAGCTCTTCGTGGAAATCTAAAGTACACCCGCTCGACCGTGAAGCGGAAGAACGGGTTGCGCATCATGGCTGTGAAGCAGGAGACAAAAGAGGAGCGGGAGGGGAACGAGGAGCGGGCGAAGTGGAGTCACAAACAAGACAAAGCATACACCGAAGTCGCCCACTGTTGTCGCGGGCGCCCTCGTTTCCAGCGGCGGCCCCAGTTTTTGGGAATGCCGTCCGCATCGCACAAGATGTCTTTGGTCAGGGATGGGTGTGGGGAGCTGGCGATTCGACTGTACAGAGCTATCTGGCGTTCCTTCAGAATCTCAGATAACGGTGTCGACGACGCTCGCTGCAACACGTCGCTGTTGCGAACACGAGAAACAAAGGATTGGGGAATACCCAACATACGCCGCAGGCATTTGCAGTGGAAGCTGTCCAATCTCGACCTGTCTGCTTTAAGAGCCATACAGAGTCCAAGAAGTACATGAGCTTGCTGAGCACGCAACTTGAATATATTATGTGTTTACGTTGTTTCCCGATTGACGCGTGCGCCCAGATCCGGTTCAGCAGCTTGAAAGTTTTAGTCGCTTCCCCCAATCGCCGGGTCACCTCGGTCGTCGCTTTCCCGTCGCAAATGATACGCCCGCCAAGAGAAACGGCTTCGCGGACTGACTTGATCGGCTCGCCAGTCGGCCTGGAAATCCTGCTGTCTGTGGAGATATTAATTTGTACTGTTTTCTCCCAGCTTAACTCTAGTCCGTACTTCTCTCCCTCAGCAACGATTGCCGCCAGCAGGCTGTTCAAATCTTCAGCGTGTCGTGAAAGAAGCAACGTGTCATCAGCGTAGAGGATATCGCGCGTCACTATAAATGCCGGCTCTGCTTGGAGATCAACAGTGTGCAATACATCATGTAGCATCACACTTTGAACGATGATAAATAAGTAAGGTGACAGGGGGCAACCTTGCGCAATCCCAGCGTGCTGTGTTCTTTCAGATGACGTACCTGTGTGGCCCAGGATGGTGAAATATCTTGCTGCGTAAATGGACCGTATAAGTTGAACCGTGCAGGGAGGAACGCCGAAGCGGAGGAGTGCGTCACACATGCAATCTGACTTAATCCTGTCAAATGCTTTGGCCCAGTCAAGCATGAGTAGAGAAAGCCCCCCGGCGTTGTCCAAGTGCGCCGCATCGATGATACGCTTCACTAACATAAGCGCGTCGCTGGTTCCTCTCCCAGGTCCGAACCCATACTGAGATTGTCGTAATCGAAGCTCTGCTCCCCCCTGAACGAGGCGTCGGTGTAGAAGTGCAGCTAGGATGTTGTATCCAACCGGCAACAAAGAGATAGGCCTGTAGTTTGCGGGTAGAGCCGCGCTTCCTTTTTCGAACAACAGCACGACATTCGAACGTCTCCAAATTTCTGGAATTAACTTTTGTTTTCAGCATTTCCGAACCATGTCCAATAATATGCCGCAAGCAACAGAATATGAACCCAAGATTTTCCAAAACTCTGGCGGGATATCGTCGGGACCGGCTGCCTTCCTTTTCCTGAACTTTCGCAGCACTGCCTTCAGTTCATTGTTGGTGAAAGGAGACGTGTCGACAGGAAGCGCATTGCCCAGTGGTGTAATCTGTTCTGGGCGTGTGTCCCAAAACTTGTACTCCCAGTGCTCGTTCTCAAAATAGTCCGCTATGACATCTGCTCGTTCTTCTGTGTCGGCTGGAGAGCCATCGGGGCGCTGTATAGTGGCATGTTGCGTTTTCTTTGGTTTTCGCAGGTGTTGAACAGCATTCCAACTACCATTCATAGTAAGATCGTGTAGCCATACTTCTCGGCCGTTCTTGCCAGATTTTCGGATCAGTGCGTGAAGTCGTTTCTCATCGTCGTGATCTCCAGCCCGTCGATGAGCATTGCGTTCGACCGTCAAGTCAAGTGCACCCTGGCTCGTCCACGGGCGTCTCGCTGACGATCTCGATACCGGCAAGACGGCTGCAGCCTCAGCAAAAGCATGTTGTAGATCGTCTGCTGCGGTGTCCAAGTTGTCTGTGGCCTTCGATTGAAGCATCGCGTTGACGAATGCACTCGGGAAGCTGCGTTGTGCTCCCAGGTCGCCCAAAGCTTGTGTATCCACTCTCCGCTTCGGTTGCTTTTGTTGGGTCTCGAACTCGATGTGTACGTCCGCAATCAGAAGGACATGTCGACTATTTAGTGCGTCAGCGCGGCTGCTCCAGCAATCCGTGATGGTGCCAATCATTGTCTGATGGCATAATACATGATCAATATGTGAAAACGTCGACGACGTAATATTGTTGTCCATTGGGTTGACTCCCAAGTTCCGGCACGTGACTTTCATCGAATCGGGGTGGTCGAAGAATGTGTTCGCGATGGCGAGGTCGTAAGCCACGCAAGTTTCCAAAAGCAATTGCCGGTTAGATAGCTGCGCATTGGTATTCCCATTGTGTCGTTCCGTTCATCGTGATTGGGGTTCCCATGGAGGCTGGGAGCGTCAAACGAAATACCGCAAACAGCGACAGCGCTGGTTTGCGAGGCGGGGATCTATCCGCATCCACCGCCTGGAAACTGACGTCCTGGTGCCCCAGCGGGCGGTGAATATGGATATATTTCAGCCCCCGGAGGCCCAACTATATCCATATCCACAGCCTGCCGAGGTCCCCGAAAATTGATCCTCCAGGCGGTGGTCATGTCTAAGTTCCCACCTCGGATGGTTGCTGTAGAAAGGAGGAGAAGCAGGCAAGACAGCGGACGGCAAGCAGACAGAGGCAATGGCCTGGGGAGGGGGGGGGCTGGAGGGGTAGGGGGCCTCCCAGGGGAATCCCAAAAAGGCCCGGGACAATCTGGGTGGTCTTCGGACATCCTTTGGCCAGCGCAGTGCATTCTGGTGCCATATTGAAGCCAGCTGGGGCTAACTCCTGGCCCGTTGGGGCCCACTTTGGCCACGCTTCACATGTTTGTTTGCTGCCCGCCCAACCTGGCGAACCTGATGGGCAAGCACCTCGGCCCTCAAGCGCTGACCCCCGCCGCGCTCGGCGAACTCCTACTCGGGAGGCTCGCCCGTTGAGCTCCGAAGTGCCTTTCGGCTA